TTGTGCCCGGCTCCTGCCTCTCTTACTTACAGAGCTTGCCAGCCTGACATTCCCCCCTCCTCAATCCTCCTCCTTGGCCGCCTCTTCTCTCCCAAACATATCCGGGTTCAGGGATTGTATTAAAAGGGGATTTATTTTGGGTCGGGCACAGGTTTTAAAATTAGACCACACACCGAGCCCCAGGGAGAAGAAAGACAAGGGAAAACAGCTTCCGCTCAACTCAACTCAGTTCCAGGTCGAAGAAAGAGCCCAGGAATCAACAGACCAGGGTTCTAGTCCAGCCTCTCCCTCTTGCTACCAATATGACCCAGGCAATTCCCTTCTCATTTGGAGGACTTCACTTTACCCATCTGTAAAATTTGGTGGTGGGGTGGTCTCAGAAAGTTCCAGCTCTAAAGCACTTAAATTTTCTGGATCTCTGTTTCTTTAACTGTAAAATGAAGTTTTTGGAGTGGGGAGGGGAGGGGGGCGGTGTTCATCAGGCTCTAGGAGCAATGTAAGGTCCCCTTATTGGTGGCAAGAGAAAGGCTTCCTAAATAGGAGAATTGGAATTGGTGCTAGGACTTTCTCTTTTCTCTAACTGTATTCTAGTCCTTGGGTTCCTAAGCCACAGGGTTTCCTGTGAGTAGAAGAGGGACATCTGTCCCTTGTACACCCCTCTTTCCCCTCCCTTGGCTCTCAGAGGCCCCAGATTCCAAATTCCACACATACACAATCACCCAGGGTGTGGTCCATGCCACAACAGCTGCTTGGAGCTGAGTTGAGGAAAGACCCCCTGGGCACTAATCCCAACAGAAGTCAGTGCAAAGATCTTGACCCCAGGGCCTCTTATCCGTTATCCTGACTCCTTGTGGGATGCCCTTGATACAGCCTGGGTTGAAAGTGGGGGTGGGAATGAGGATCTCTATTCTATCTCTAAAGGGTTTCTGAACTCTCATCCCTAGGAGATCCCAACCAATCTTTGGCCTGCCCTGGGGACAGATACAGAAACCAAAGGATGACTTTGACCCAGTGGAAACTCAGGGGCCTAACTCCCCATCTCAGACACTGCTTTGTCTTACTACCTTTGAGCAGAGCTGAGCTAAAACACTGTATCTCTCCTGAAACCAAGCTATGGTGAATTCCTCAGAATTCATCCCAACCTTATCTCATTGAGCAAGTAGAAATGGCCTAACCCTAGCCAAGGATTCCTGATAGCTCAACATGAACATAGTACAAAACTTAGAAATCGATGAAGCTAACCCAATAATAAGACAATAATAGTTAACATTTATATATTGCAAACTATGTGCCAGGCACTGTGACATGCACCTTACAATTATTATCTCTTTTGATCCTCACAACCCTGGGAGGTAGTGCTGTTATTATTCCCATTTTACGGATGCCAAATTGAGACAAACAGAAGTTAAGTGACTTGCTCAGGGTCACACAAGAGACCTGATGTCTGAGTCTGGATTTGAACTCAGGTTTTCCTGACTCCAGGTCCAGCATTCTACCCATGGTGCCATCTAGCTGCCCCATAACCTACTCATTTTACAAATGGATGAAATATCAGGGAAAGAAATGATAGGACTAGAACTCAGACCTCTTGAAGAGCAAGCCTCTCTTCTCCAGTTAGACTACCCAGATTTCCTTACTTCTATCCCTCCTCTCCATACCCATTCTGACTGCGCCCCCATGTTTGCCATACCATCCACTCTGCCCAGTTCAGATGATCCTTCCCTCAGATAAGCTAAACAATTCTTTTTCCTTAGTTTCTCTTCCCCCAGAGAAGTGTTTTAATGTTGGCTACAGGAGGCAGGAAACCAGAGAAGATCCCACGAGCCCTGCTTTACCCTTCCTCACCTCCACCTAGCTTTTTAGCTTCAGCCTTCTTCCAGGATCAGCTCAATTCCTACAGAGTCCCCCCTCATGTCCTTGCTTTTTCCCTACTTAAATTATCTCGTAGTACACGTGGTTTACTTGATCTGTGGATACATTTGAGTCCTCCATCGGAATGTAAGCTCTCTGAGGACAGGGATTGGTTTTTTGCTTTTCCTTTGTTTCACTATGGCTGGCACTGTGCCTTGTATATAGCATATGTTTAATAATTATTGGGCGATATAGGATTGTACTCCTACTTCTCAAGGTCTTTCCACATCCATGGCCTCATTTGATTCTTATAACCCCCTGGGATGGAAGGTTAGGAGCAGGATGGACATAATGTGCCCAATTTTGAATGCCTAGAGAAGGAAAGTAAATTGCCTCAAATTACATAGTGAACTAGGGGACTGTACAGGATCAGAATCTGGGGCTCCTGACTGCGCAGTCCAACTGTCTTTCCCATTTGCTACCCAGATTGGTGGTGGTTTTGGAAGGGATCTCAGAGTTCACCTGGTACAAATATATCTCAGTAAGAATACAGTAAGATAAATGGTAATTCAACCTTTAAGTGAAGACCCTCAGTGATGGGGAATTTACTGTCACTTATGTCACTCAGAATCATGGAATCTTGGAGTTGGAAGGGACCTCACAGGTCATCAATCCTACTCCAAGTAGCCCCTTCCAATTGAAGGGGATTTCCTCTTACCCCAGATACCACAGTTGGTACAAGATTACTAGGGTCATATGACTCATATTTGTATGTCAATTTCCAACGCTACACTTGTCAGTTCCATGCTTGGATCCATTACTTGCTCTTCACACCACCCTGTGAGGCTAAGGTATTTCTTCATAGCTGAGAGAACTGAGGCACAGAAAGGTCGCCCTGTGAGTCAATGGTAAAGCTGGGATTAGAAACCAGGTCTCCTGATTCCCCGGGTTCTTTTTGTTACCCCCATAGGGATTAGGGGAAACCGGGCTGGGCGCAGTTCAGGGAGTAAGAAGAAGAGAGGTGCTTTAGTCTATTGATGAGGGCAGAGAAGAGTTTGAAGTCCTAGCTCTGGGCCTTGGGGTCTCGCGACCTGCCTGGGCAGGGGGAGCTGAGGGGTTTGGAGGAAAAAGGGACTTCCAGTTGGGCATGTGCATTAGATCTCAAATTGGGGAGTGGACAGATGAATGACCAATAGAGAGTTAATGAGGTATACTGTGAAGTATACCCGGTCTGGGACTGCTCTCCTTTAGCAAACTAGGGAAGACCTGCCTGGCCTGCTACTCTCCAGTTCATGGGGGTGAGGGATAAAGGAGGGGAGAGAGAGAAGAGTGCCTGACCGGCACCTTCCCTGTGCCAGGCCCTCTGGCCCACTCCTTGGGCCCTAAGGGTATTGCACAATGTCTCCTCCTCCCATGTGGGGAGACCTGGGATCTGGGCCACAGGGGTGAAGGGAAGGAGAGGTAGACCCCTCAACCTGGGGGGAGTTCCTTCTGAACCTTTGGGAAGCAGATAGAGAGGAACTCAGAGAAGGTGATCATTCTATGAATGCCTCATATTTCCTCCCAATTTCCCTTCCAGTCTTTCTTTTGAGTTTCCCTTATATCCCTGGAAAGTCAGCAGAGCAGGGATGATTGTCCCCATTTTACAGCCAAGGAAACTGAGGCTCAGAGTGGGAAAATGACTTGCCCAAGGTCAATACAAACCCAGAACAGGAATACCGATCTCCTGCTCTGGGCACAGGGCTGTGTTTCCATTGCACCAGGGAGGAAACCCAGGTCAGGAAAGAATAGACACAGGGAGCCAGGTGGGGGTGGGGTAGAGGGGGACCATGGGGTCTGAGTTTTCTGTCCTGCGACAGGGAGGTCCCCTCCTTCCATCTGTAGGGAGAAAGAAGACGAATGACTACCCCTCATATGAAGGGGGGTGGGGGTAGATGGTGGTATGGTAAAGGGGGGGGCCCCTGGGAGCCAGAGCAGTCTTAAGACTCTGGAGGTGGGAGGGGGGAGGAGGAAGGCAACCCAGCCTGGCTGCAGGGAGGGAGCGGGAAGCAGAGCCGCGGCCGCCGCCTCTGCAGTGCCTGCGGAAGCCCACGGCCCGGGACACCGCAGGGAGGGGGCCCAGCAAGCTGGCGAGACGCGGGGGAGCCCTGGCCACGGAAAACCGAGACTCTTTCAGGAGTGGCGCACAAGTCACAGAAGCAGGGCCACTCGGGGGAGGGGGGGGTGCTCCAACTCTCCCGGGGGGTGGGCTGAGGGTCCCAGGAGGGAACGGGCGGTGCCGCAGGGGTTAACGGGCGCCGGCCGCCGGCCGCTGATCAATAATTGAAAATCCAGAATGGATGCGGGCGATAAGAAGCCGCGCTCGATCGAGGGGGAGGGGGAGGAGGCTAGGACGGAGAGCGCACAGGACCTCCCTCCCCCTCCCCCCCGTCCCCCTTGGACACACACAGCAGCTGCCCCCCCCCCAGTCCGGAGGGGGGGGTGGCTGCCCGCGCCCAGCTCTCTCGGCCCGGGCCCCCTTCCAAGGAGGGGGATGGGGGCTGCAGCGCGTTACCAGCGGAGAGAAGCCGAACGAACCCCCTCCCCCCGGTATAACGCGGCGCTCGGGAGCGCTCGGCCCCCAAACTTCGCGGCTCTGGAGCCGCTGCAACTTTGCGCACTCTGCCAAGGCGCCCAGCACGCCTGCCCCCTCCCCTTCCCTTTCCCCCCGCATTACTCCGACTCCCCCATCCCCCAGCCTTTTCCCAGCGCACGTGCGCTGAACCCCCCTCCTCCTCCCAAAGCCCCGCGCGCTCCCAGGCCCCCCGCGGGAGAGGGAGGGGGACCCCGCAGCCGTTTACCCTCCCCAAAAGGATTAAGAGGTCCCAGTTCAAATAGTGCCCCCAGTTCGGGTTGACAATACGGAAGCCCTCCCAGAGGACTCCCCCCTTCCCTTATTTAACCTGGTCCCGGAAAATCGAGGCCCTAGGGTGGGGGGGGGCGGGGAGCTGGCAGCCGTGGCCCCGGCAGCCGCAGGAGACGACGAAATCCCGCCTTTTTGTGTGTGTGTGTGTGTGTTTTTCTCGCCCCTTCTCCGGGCAACTGGAAAACTATTTTTGCAGGGACGAGGTAGAGGAAGGGGGAGGGGGGCCAAGTCGGGACTGCCTTACCTGGGTCAGGCACAGCGGGGACGAATACATGCCGAGCGGGCCTGGGAGGCTCCCGGGTTCGCAGGGGAGAAAACACGGCGGCTCCAAAGTTACTGAGTCATATGTTCACCCCCCACCCCCCCCCCGCCTCTGTCTCGCTCCCCGTCTCTGTCCTTCTCTGGGTCTCTGGGTCTCTTCTCTCTTTGTCTCTCTCCTCTTGCTGTCTCTCTCCTCTCCCTGTCTCTGTCTCTTCTCTGTCTCCCTCTCCTCACAGTCTCTCTCTCCTCCTCCACCTCCTCCCTCTCTCTCTCTCTCTCTCTCTCTCTCTCTCTCTCTCTCCCTCTCTCTCTCTCTCTCTCTCTCTCTCTCTCTCTCTCTCTCCCTCTCTCTCTCCCTCCCTCCTCCCTCTCTCCCTCCCTCCCTCTCTCTCTCTCTCCCTTTCTCTCTCTCCTCTCTCTCTCTCTCTCTCTCTCTCTCTCTCTCTCTCTCTCTCTCTCTCTCTCTCTCTCTCTCTCTCCCTCTCTCTCCCTCTTTCTTGGCTCAGGATCTCGGAAATCTCAGTCCTCCCTCCCTCCCCCCAATTTTTTTTAAACACGAACCACCCACTTTCCAACATCCAACTTTCAAAGAAACGCGGAAAAAGCCGAGAGAGCCTGAGAGGAGGAAACCGTAACTTGCCTCCCCCCACCCCAACCTCTACTCCTCTCCCTGGACTAAGCAACAACGCTTAATAATAATTAGCAATAATTATTACTGATGATGAGCAGGAATAAGAGACCTTGCCTAGGGTCAGCGGCGGGGAGGGAAGGAGGACTATAAAAGGGGTCTAATCTGAGGGGGAAAACCAAACCTTAACAATCCAGTTAACACCCCCTCCCCAAGCAGGTGTGGAGGTTTGAAATGTTGCTTTAAATAAAGGAGGGGCAATATTGGCCCCCACCCCCACCCCTTCCTCCAGCTCTTTGCTCTCTGCTAAGGGAGGGAGCCCGGGTTGAAATAATTGGGGATTGGCTGGGGGGGGGAGGCGGGGAGGTGCGGCCAAAAAAAAAAAAAAAGGAATATAAAAATAAGAGGCTGGAAAACTCTGAAACCCTATTGAAAACTGTGGATGGGGCAAGACTCGTGGACCCAGGGCACCCTCTTTACTCCGGAGAGGTTCCCACATCTCTGGCCCAGGAATGAGAAGCGGATTGCTCCAGAGATTTGAAGACCCTACCCCATTCCAGCTCTAATTGCAGTTTCCCAGAGCGGTACAGGGGGGTTTGAGGGACTGGGGTGGGGGGAGGAATTGAAGGGCATCTCTTAGGGAGTGCCCAGCAAATGTGCCTCTTCACCCCAGCCAATGTTTCATTCCTTCCACCCCCCTACCCCCCAAACCCCACACCTGTGGCTAACTGGGACAGGAACATGGGGTTGAGAATTGGGGGATTTGGTTCCCTCAGATTCAGGATGAGCAGGAACACAGCTCTCCTCAAATGTCTAGCCTCAGCAGAGTTGGCTTCTCTCCTAGCTCTCACAGGCAAACAGGTTATACACACATATATGTATATATGTATATGTGTGTGCATATATCTACATTAATGTATACATAATAGTCTCTACCACTTCGATTTCAGGACACAGAGGCAGTGCAGGGGTACTAGTGTATCCATTTGACAGATGGGAAAACCGAGGGCTTGGAGGTTATAGGTGACTTGGCCAAGGTCCCAAGTTGGCGATAGAGCCAGGAACCAACCCCCCATTTTCTGACTTCAAGTATAGTGTTTTCCCAGGATAACACACTGGTTCCAGCTCAGGAAAATTAGAAATCAGTAACCGTTTATTAAATGACTATTGTGTGAAAAGAAGGGGATCGAGGTGTACAAATTTAGATAAGATTTAGTTCAGGCTCTCAAATCCCTTATAGTATATACAGCTCATCCCCCTGGAGCAACTGTCTTCACAAAAATTGGAAGCTAAACTCCAGCAGAAGGACTAAACACTACCATGGAAATAAATTCACAGACACAGTCACATGTACAGATGTCATATATATTTATACAAGCAGTGCATCATGCACATATACCCAGACACATATGTGAATAATCAACATGCAAATTGTCTGTTTATTCCTATTCACATACAAACACACACCATCATAATTATAGTACCTTGTATTCTACACTTACATGTCCCATGGGCATCTCAAACTCAAGATGTTCCAAACCAAACTTGGTATCTTCCCCTCGATCTTACTCCTCCTGACTTCTCATAGGATTCCATAGGATTTTGCAGTATTTAGAATTGGTAGGGTCCTTAGAGATCATCTAGGCCAACTCTTTTATTTTTCAAATAAGACTCAGAGATTTGCCTTAAGGTCATATAAATAGGAGCAGAGCTGGGATTCAAACCCAGGTATTCGGGTTTCACTAGGTAGATCTCTGACCATGGATGGGCATCCTAGTCCCTGAGGATCAAAATTTGAGAATCACCTCTGGTTCCTTCCTTCCTAAAATTTAGTCAATTACCAAATCCTAGACATTCTCCTTCACCCAAATCATTCACAACCTGTCCCCTTCACTCTCATGTCAGAACCCCAGAATGGACTCTACTGTTCCTCAGAAGAATATTGTGAACCTCAGATGAGATAGAGCTTAAAAAACTTTGAAAACTCAAAGTTGTAGATCTATGCAAAATATTATAATAGGCCTCATCCATGCTCCCCTGAGGTACTGCAATATTCTCCTAACTAGCTTCCCCAACATCGGACTCTCCTTTAATCCTCTTCTTCTTCTCCCAGTCATCTTCCCAAAGCCTAGTTTTGATTATATTCCTCTCTTGCTTTGACACTATCAATGGCTCCTCCTTGCCTACAGGGTACAGTCCAAATTCTGCAGCCTGGAGGTTCATGCCAGCCTGCTAGCTTTATCTCCTTTGGGGGTATACTCCCCACTTTGGCCAAACTGGACTCCTCACCATTCCCCCCATTTAGCTTTCTTCTCTGCTTTCCCTCATACCACAGCCCTAGCTCCCCCTGTTGAAAAATTCCCATCCTTCATAAAAAGTTCAAATACCACCACCTCCAGGCAGTATTCTTTGATTGCCCTCCCCCCATCAGTACCTCCCATTGTACCCATCACATTTTGCCTTGCAGTATAATTATATGTGAATGATTTATTTCCTGTTAGACTCCGAGCCCTCCTTAGGGGCTCGAACTCCTGCTGTTTCTTTCTTAAACTCTCGGTTCATAGTGGATGAATAATCAATGGTTGTTGAATGAGCAAACAATAATAATTGTTGGCATTTCTATAGCGCCTTGACAAAGCACTTTCCTCACTGCAATCTCCTAAAGGTAGATAGCCTACATACCCTCATTCCCTTTTTCCGCTGAGGAAATCTAAACCAGAGATGGGAATTGGCACCCCAAAGTCACACAGCTATAGTTCAACCCTGTGATGATTCGACACTTTCGGAAAATAGAGACACGGAGATTCGTCCTGAGAAATTCCCTAATTTGCAGCAGTCAAGTAGCCTGGAACCCAGGACTCCCACGACCCGCGTGAGAGACAGCTACACTGACTGGCCTCTCTACTATTCTTGAGCCCACTGCATTCTCTTCTAGTCCGCTAAACCGAGACCGAGGGGCTAGAGGAGTCGGTTTTACTCAAGTAGATTTAGGCTACCCTAGTGAGCAAACAGTCCACAACACTCCACTAGCCTTTTGCGGTTTTAGGCACACACGAGCACAACCTATGCGTGCACATACGTGTATGTGTATGCATGTATATATGCACGTACGTACGTATATGGGTATATATACGAATATCAGCAAATGTCCCAGCCCCCAGGCCGAATTCACACTGTGTCTTCCGCAATCAGCTCAGGGCTGCTCTACCTGAAAGTGACACCGCGCCCCCCTACTCCGCCCCCGGCAGCCAGGTAACCTGGGTCCTTCTCTCTTGAATTCGAGGGGGTGTCTATTTCTATCTCTGTGTTTGTATATTTTTACCGCTTTCTCCCTACTTCGGGTAAATGATGCGGCTTCTGAAAAACTTTCCTGATCCGTCCCTTGGCGCGGCCTTCCCGGATGAGAGGGCAGAGGAGAGTCAAAACCCAAAAGGCCTTTGGTGTTTGGATATATGTGCGTGTTCTTGTGTCTGTGAATGTAGGTATAGAGGCATGCATGCGTGTATTTATATGCATTTAGAGGACTGCATTTAAAAAGCGTGACCGAGAGGCAGAAATTTGGGGATTTTCCCTGGAGCTGAGAAAGCAACTCCTTTCTGCCCCAACAGAGGCTGCAGAGCTAAGAATACAACTGCGGCCGGGGCAATATCTGGGGCTGGGTCCAGGGCAGAGAGACGGGGGCAGGGGTAGGCGTTGGGACTGAGGCAGAAGCAGAAGCAGGGGCTGAGTCAGGGGCAAAGACTAAGGTAAGGGTCTGAGCAGAGACTGGGATTGGTGAAGGGGTCGGTGCTAGGGCTAGTGCTGAAGCAGAAGCTGGGGCAAAGGATGAATCAGAGGCTGAAGCTGGGGAAAAGGCAGGGGCTGGAAGGTGGTTGAAGGATGGATCAGAGGCTGGGGCTGGGAATGGACCGAGGGCTAATTCTGAGGCAGAGGTTGGCGCAAAGACTGGCTGACAGCGCTATAGGCAAGCTAGTCGCACGGATATAATGCTCTGTGGGAACCCAGAATGGTGGGCTCTGGTCACCTCTCCCCCATCTCTCCTCGCCCGCCCTCTGCGGAATCCAGTCGCAGTCCGCAGATGTAAACACCTTAGGCCTCTGCATGTGTGAGGCAGCGAAGGAACCCAGAACGGCTTCTGGAGTCTGATTGGTGGCCGTAGACACACGGGTTCGCTGCTAGCCAAAGGCCAGCTTTCCCTACACGTGGGTATCCCAGGCCTTAGGATATGAACCCCAGGCCCTACAGAATGCATGGACATCCCCCCTCACGCTCTAGGTCCTAGCCCAAGCACTAATATAACCCTCATCCCTAGAGAAACGGCGCTGTTGTCTGGCCCCCTTTCTCCCCTGGGAGAAATGACGGTCTCATCGCTCTCTTCACGTACTCCAAAACGATAGTAAGCGGAGACACACCTTTGCTCACCCCGAGACGTAGGACCATGGTTGTAGAAGTACTGTGTACTGTGGTTGTAGAAGACGAGAAAGGCAAACTAG